ATACTATCATGCGACTCGAACCCCACGATCGCATCTCAAAATAAAGTAACAAAATGTTCAAGAAAAAGTCTTAGTAGTTGACTACTATCCTTAGTAGTCGACTACACTGAGTCTATCCAGACTCTGTAATTGCAGTGTTAAACTTAGTCAACTACACTGAGTTTATCCAGACTCTGTAATTGCAGTGTTAAACTTAGTAGTCAACTACACTGAGTCTATCCAGACTCTGTAATTGCAGTGTTAAACTTTGTAGTCGACTAGTAAGCATATTAGTCAACTACATTGTACTAACTCAGTTTCTATAAATCTAAACTAGACATGAGTAGTCGACTACTAAGCTTAGTAGTCGACTACCTTGTCAAAACGTGCATTCTTTCATGAACGAACAGGATTTATCATTCAACTATACTTCTCATGTGATTAAATACAAAAATAAAACATGTAATATTCATCAAAATACGAGAAATCATCCTTAACATGAAACAATCTCTTAATTTGCTCTAATTAGGATTAACATCCTAATTAATCAAATTTTCTCAAATTAGCTCTTAATTAAACCACGAAAATTATCAACACATGATGTTAACTACTCATGAACAGAAGCAAATTTTTGTTTATACATGTTCATTTATCTTAGGTATCACAAACTTAGGTTTTTAGCACAATTAGCTTACAAGAAACCTCAATTAACAATTAATTAGGGTTTACTCATGAGTTAAACACAATTGTCAAGTTAAAAATGAAATTAACATAAATCCTAATGACCATGATCACGTTTCTATCATCAACAGTAAAGATTTAACTTCAGATCTATCATAGAGTTAAGATTTATCATCAAAAACCAAACTTTATAACACCTCATGTTAAGATTTACGCATGTGAATACAAATTAAACATCTCAAACTAGTTATTTAACTATGGGGATGGGTTTAGACGAATATAATCTTGCTTCAAAGTGCTGTTGATCTCCTCACATGCACGCAAGATCCCTCTTCTCCAAAACGCCAAAAATTTGCCTTCCTCTCAACAAACGCCTCACGAACACACCCAAAACTCAACTTTTAGGGTTAGGGTTGAAGGAGGTGAGAGGCTGCTGATATTTCACATGAAAGGTGAGGAAAATAGGGTTTCAAATGAGTATATACACATAGGTTAACAATCGGATTCGAAACAAACAAAATTAGCCCGATACCAAACCTGCTCACACTGGGAAATCTCCTGCTAGTCGACTACTAAGCTTAGTAATCGACTACTAAGCTCAACTCAAGTTTCTATAAATTGTTTACAAGCTCAGAGTAGTTGATTACTAAGAGCACTAGTCGACTACACTGAGTCTGTTTGCCTGTGCAAACTGATTCATTCTCATACTCAAAAATATGTACGTCGATTATCTCAAATAAATTCCTAACGTACTCAAACATTAAAAATATGTTATTTAGCACAATATAACATATTAAATATTATTTATCATATAGTATTTAAATTTGTGGGGTTTTACAATAACTTGTCTAACACTAGTAGAAAAACGAGCAACCTAGATGTAAATTTCCATCTAGGTTGATCCAAATCCTGTCTAGGTTAGTTCAACTAGACAGAATTCTGTCTAGTTAGATCCGTTTATTTTGCTTCCGTCTAGATTGACTCAAACTAGACGGAATTCTGTCTGGGTTGATCAATCTAGACGGAAGTCAACCTAGACGGAAGTAAGAATTCCGTCTAGTCTGCCAGACTAGACAGAATTCTGTCTAGGTTGATTATGACAACCTAGACGGAATTCTGTCTAGGTTGATTCAAATCAGAGTCGTATATCATATATTATATGTCCAAAGAATTGGATGTAATTATTGGACGGAAGTCTAGGGATAACGTTGTTTTTTTATTCACCTAAATTAGATTATAACACATTATAAAAAATTATAATGTGTTATATATCACTCTATTTTTTTTTTAAATCTATTTCTCATATTTTCACATCACAAACTTAAATAATCACACCTACTTATAGCACGAATGAAACTTAAATGAGTTAGGGTTTATAAGTGTTTAAAAAAAAATATGATTACTAGTATTGTTCAAATGAATTAACATGTAGTTGAGTTAGGGTTTTTAGAATTGAACCCGTTTATTTTTTTTATCATAAATTAGGGTTTTTAAACTAAATTCAACAATAAATAATAATAAAATTAAAAATTCTAAAGCTTAGTAGAAAAATTATACCTTTTAAGCAGATGAAACAACGGACACACCGGTGATCACGATTAGCCTGCTGGAAAATTAGGGAAGGGGGGAT